ATATTATATTATATTATATTATATTATATTATATTATATTATATTATATTGGTGTCTAATTATATATCCCTCGCATGTACACGATGCGGATCAAATCCCACCTAAGCTGATCGGATCCTTCTTCCCAGTAACGATTATAATGTATTAATTCTCATTGACTGGCTTAAGCGTCCCACAAAAAGTCATTGTTAATTCGAATTCGATCAGGAATCCAATATGGCTCACCACAGTCAAACAAAAGGGGCCAGCGATTGGAGTTTCCCAAAATTTTTAACTCATAAATCTCTTTGTGACCTAATGCTGTTATGAGATATACGTATACGCTAGATATTTGCTAGAATACCAAAAATATACCGATCATTTTTGATCTCAAATCGAAATTTGAGCCCTGACCCCATACGACCTGGTTTAGAAATCTCTATCTGCACCTTTTTTCTCTGCTGTAGCTTTGTAAAAATTCTACATACCATTAGGGAGATGGATCGATTCAACGGTCATATTATAACCATACTGTCCAATCGAATTATCTGTGACGAATTCTGTCTCCATAATATCTCCAGTTAATACTAACCGCACATTCTTGTTTGTATCGTTCAATCTGATTGTACTAACCTTGAATTCACCACAAGATCAAGACTGACTAAAGAGAATTTTTGAAGACTTGCCTATCCATAGTGATTCCATCCGAATAGAACTGAATATAACCGTATGATTCAGTACTGAGAAAATGCACTGTAGCAACAAATGCCAGTTGAGAATCATGGCGTATTGTGTCGTTGTGGATGAATCGTCTTTTGCAACGAACCTCAGAACAGTGCGTTAACGGGAATTCCGGCGAAGTTATGTGGACTGGTTCCGTGCCCACAACCACGTAAGCTTCATCATCGCAGTAACAAGCTAAAACACACAATTCTTTGATGGCTTTGCAACCAGACTAGATTGTTCCACTCTCTTGAGAGTGATTCCACGATAACCACATCTAACCATCAGTGTTTTCTATTCAAATAGTCGTTCAGGGTTGTATAAGTGCAAAATGACACTTCGGTGATAGATCTCATGGTTGTTCTGTGATGTCGGCCTTCCTTTTTCTTTCCCCTGCATGTTATTATTAACATAAACAACACTGTTTGTCTCTTTTTTTTTGCTTATCATCCCATTGTTTCGTAATGCGACCTTATCTTGAATGTATTGCAATATGACTGAAACTGGAGTGGGAATAGAAGCGTGATCGAGTCATCCGAGACTCCCGGTTACCACGCTTAATCACTACCGACTTATTCCGTCTCTCAGCTCTGAGTGCAGTGGCTCAGTTCAGAGATAAGTCTGGGCACGAGTTTGAATCGCGACTTCTGTCGGTGCCGTTTTGCCTATCCTGTTGTTTTGTCAGCAAACGTGTGACAAAATGCCATTATTGCTAAGGTCCATCCTGAACCGCGACAAATAAACAAACGCCAAAACAACTATCGAGCAATAAAGAAAAGAATGACGGCGAGTAGAGGCAGTTGGGTATGTGAAGTCATCGGAAAACGTAAAGTTACTGGCTGTGGGTATTCCCTGCCCACGGAGAACTGCTCCGGCTAGAATGGTTCGTCAGTGCAACATCTATGCATAGGTCTGGATTGGCACCCTGACTGACTGAGTTGCAAAATACCAAGTGAAAGCGTAGTGAACTTGGCGATTTGCTAGAAATAAATCCTACTATATATAACGCGCTAAGCGTGTCTGTTGGTTTGCCTGTACTGGCGGCAGGATAGGAACACTGATGGTGGGTGGCGGGGCCGGATTCCGCCCACAGGAGGCGGGGTTTGTGCGGAAAATCATAACTGCAGTCCCCGAGGACCTAGAGCGTCCAAATTTGGTAGGAGTACCCAAGATAAGATGGGAACGCTTTAAATGGGTGGCAGGATTGAGCTCCGTCCACAATGGGCGGGGTTTGAGCAGAAATTCGTAACTCCTGTCCCTGTGGACCTAAAAAGTTCACACTTGGCATGAGCACAGGCGGCATGATGAGAACACTTATGGTGGATGGCGGGACCGGACTCCGCCCAACGGCTTTGTTTGAGCGGAAAATCATCACTACTTCAGGGACGGGGCTTGCAGAGAAATGTCAAAATGCACCTAGAGCGACCAAACTTGGTAGGAATACAGAAGGTTGGATAGGAACACTGCTGATAGGTTGCAAGACTAAACTCCGCTCCATAGGGATGTGCGTGAATAAATACTGTTAGTTCGGACCCAGACCGTTGACACATGAAAGCACAAGGAGATGGCTGGGAACATTGATGGTAGCTAACATAGTAGACTCAGCCGCGATGACGTCTCTGAACGCTTTTTCTCTGAATAATCGCCTCCGTGGTATAATGCGATGTTCTACTCAGCGAAGATGGCTTACAGAAAAACTCGCCCCTAATTCGGAGCTAATACTGAGGGTGTAGAGCTTCTAGAGATAGGAGATTCCGAAGTGTTATTTACGCATAGCAAATATCTCACAGAAAGGAGGGGTGCCCGGCGTAGCCGGACGAACCCATAGAAGGGGGGAAGCCCGGCGTTAGCCGGGCGGCCCGACTGGTTAGCTCTCGAATCAACTCACGTTCTTCGGTGAGCTCTTTGAAAGTGATGTTGTAGCGTGGTGGGTGATATGGAGATAGGCCCTCGAGCACGAAATCTATCTTGTCGTTCTGTCTTTTCAGACCTCCAGATGATGTAGCCCTGGAAAGTACAATAATGAGTTCGCTTGTCTTTCCCGATAAACAGCTATGGCTGCTTTCATAGTCCGCGGCCGGCCGGCGTGCCATGAGGCAGTGCTAGGGGGGAGGAGGGCGGCAGACGGTCGTCAGCCCCTCGATGTGTTGTAAACAAGGGGAGACAAGATCAAAAACCAACAAAAATAGTGCGATAAAGGTGAAGAAACTGCGTTAATCGGTGTTTCCATAGCGGAAAAATGCTTCGAAAAGTCGTTAGAAAGGGGGCTGCACGAGAATGAGACCAGAAAAATGAAGAAGAGTGGGGCGTTTGGACGAGCTATACAATGTGTCTCACTGCGTACGTAAAAACCCTAGTAACAGCAAAAGTAGCTCTCCTTTTTCAGCTTCTAGGAGTAGGAAATTAAATTAGGAATCGTGACAGCAAAAAGAATAACAGAGTAAAAAAGAATGGGAGAAACACATCGCCTCATCACCCGACGATCACCTGATTGAGTGTGGGTCCTAGAACGAATAGTTGCAATCTGCATTGTCTTGACACTCGTCTGACGTAACAACGATCGAGGGGCGGAAAAGCCAATTACGGCAATTAGGCAACAACGACGCTTCCGCCAACAACTATGCCTTGAGCGTCGAGATTGTGGGAGCGAGAAGGTCCTTTTTACCACCCATGGCGCCGATGAGTGTTGATAAGGTAAGAACTCAGTAACCTTTTTAACGTGAACCGTGCTTTTAAGCCGAGATTGAGAGCGAATGCGTTTCAGGTGCGGATGTATTTATGTACGCAGTTATATTCGTTCCATTTATTGGAAATATTTCCGGTTCGGATTCCTAGCTTGTAGAAGATCCGAAAAAGTAGTGACGCTATCTAGTCTCATCCTTACACTACTAGCTTCGAATAAATTTCATAAACAGAAATGAGCGAAATGATAGGAGCACCCGTCACTTACCTGAAATCACCACTCTCTTGCCACCCAATAAAAGTCGTTCCTGCTAGGTCGGTGAAATTCAAAAGGATCTCTCGACCCGGTACGGACGAAATGATTCGGAAGGGACAGCCTGTAAATCTTCTACTTTGTCTATGAGATTGGTTGCTGAGCAACTTGATAGGTACATACGTATTGGTCCGAGTCTTTCGATGTCTGGAACGTTTGTGATGTTAACGGACGAACGAAGCAGTGGATATGGGCAAACTTCTTCATCTGAAGGGGAATTCATTGGATGGCTCCAGGGCTTGGTAATCTTCATTTGTAAATAAAGTAACATCACTGTTGCACAAGGCGGAGGTGGTGCAGTGGCAAGTGGCGCAATTCACACATGCATGGTCACGGGTTCGAACTCGGATCGACATCCGCCTAGACGAACCAGGCCTTCTATCCCTCCGGGGCACGTGAATTGGTACCAGACTTGTTTGGGAGGACAAAAGCACTGTCTTATACGACTGGTTAAGTCATTGTATAGGCCACATACGCACTCATTACGCCACTACGATTCTGAATGGAAGTCGTGTGCGGGGGCGCATCCCTCAGACGGGATTGATTACTTCCCAAAGACTTTATCCTTTATTCTTATCACTGTTGCACGGTACACAGTTCCCTCGCGGATGGTATTGAGCGGTTGTTTTATAACAATCGTGTACGGCAAGCAGCGAGAAGCATTGAAAGAAGACATGTCTCCGACATTGACTTGAAATTAAACCAAAGTTTAAAGCATTAATTTACTGCACATCGTTAGCAAGCGAATTGCGGCTATTCCTTTCATGGTTCCCAATTGAAAACGAATATTTCTGAGATGTAAATCACACTCAACCCCAACATACAATCTTTTGATTATGAATGAAAGTAAAGAAATTTATAATACCAAATTGTTCAACTCGGTTGAAGGAGAACGCGAAAGATGATTCGCCGTCCATCCTTTGCTGAAACTTGTACTCAATTTCAAAGCCAACACCAACAGCAGCGGTGAAGGTCCATAGACGGTAAGAGCTGAAGTTAACTACGATGATCCTCAGAACTGCTGGTTAGGAGTTATTCTAAGTAATAGGTTCATGCATGATTATTGCGGATTTTTTCGCGGCTTCTTTTCTCTTGCTACAATTCGAATATTGGATTTGGGATTTAATAAAAATAATTTTCTCACTCTCTTCAGTAGAAATATGCCTTGAAAGTCATCTTCATTTACGCCACATTATGCTCCATTACTTTAAGAAACGTTGGAAGGCGGCGCAGTCATTAGGTGATCTCAACGAACTTCTCAGCGATGGAACAGTCAGCCAAAGCCGAATAAGGGATGGTATTTGCTCCTACGTTTGCCCGGTTCACCAATCTTACCTGTTGACGTTGACATAATGCAGCGAAGCAGTTTCGGTGTCGTCTATCGGAAAGTATTGAGAAAGCTTCAGAGTATCGTTAGGGTTTAATGTGATAGATTTCAGAAGAAGCGTGAGGCCTGTTTTGCTCCCTGGTCCCACCTGAAAATAATCTGAAGCCATTGTCCGGTGATGAACAGTCTAGATGTTGAAGCAAAATTTTGAAAAGTGATTTTTTGATTTTTTTTAGTTTTCAAATCTACAAAAACAATCTTTGTCTTCTCCCAAACCCTTATTTTATAGTAGTTGTAATCACTGGTCTCACCTAAGGATGCTGTTAGCAGGTGGCTAAATGGAATTATTTATTTGGGGAACAGGCTCGATAAGTATGATTTTGTGCGTTCTGCTACAATTTTGTGCCTTACTACCGTTACTGGATTGTTACCCGTGTCAGGTAACCCTTCTCAAAGAATCTAATTCTAGATTACCCTAATAACGCAAAGGTCATTTGTACAGCAATGCTCATGACCATATTGCGAGAATTCACCGCGACCATACTCCTCACCATGAGTGCACAAATCATCGAAGCAACCATAGCAACCGCAATCGTCGTCATCTGTAACAAAAGTGAAATGGCTAGGATGGGAAGGATCAAACGAGTGACATTTAAAGCTTGCCATCACAGGCGTTGATCTGTGAAGATACCGTTGCTACGAAGAGAAAGCACTTTATCCAGGAACAAAATTGAAACGGTGTCATGGCTCATCGACCGCGTGACAGAAGCGCCAGCAGAAGTCTCAGAGCCGATGAACTGATGTGTCGATTCATTGTTTTTGTTGGAAATGCGATAAGGTGTAATGTAAACATTAAACAGTCTTTCAAAGAATCCGGGCTGACCAACATCGACCAATTGAAAACAAATGTTTATATTGTTTCTGACACCTCCCTCCCTACTTCGACAGTGTCCAGAACTCCATAAATGGATCTACATCCTCTCTCTTTTTCTATCCTTAACTGAGTCACCACCATGATTTGGCCAACACAGCCGCATCACATCAATGTTTTTACCTCCCTAACGAATCTGGCAGCAGATAGCTAAGTTTGTGAAAATGAAGCATTTCGTTGATCTGAAGCACATTCGATTTGAGGTTTGATCAGCGGGGTGGGTATAAGTGGAGCTGGCGACCTGCCATTGCCTTATTCTTCTTCGCTCCAACGATTTTTTACGTTTTCCTTCCACTTTTATGAACTTCGTGAAGATAGATGAAGTTTATACTATCTGGTACCATC